GCTAGAAAGACCTGCCAGACTCACGTCCAGGTCTGTTGTGGAGATGGACAAGCGGCAGAAGCGGCGTTCAGTCCGTTCTTGGTCCAAAACTAGACATTGCGTGGTGCTCTCGTCTTCAACTGCTGCTGTTGGTGCTGGGGAATTTTTTTCGATCACACATAGCAAACACGAAAACAGTAGAACGAGTACAGCAGCACCACCAAGACCTCCAAAGCGCTGATTCCTTCGGTTCGGCTGTCTATATGATACCATCTCCCGGCGCCGTGCTGCTTCGTGGGTATTGAGTGCTTGGGTGCTGCTCAATAAGGTGTGTGAGAGACGTGTGCCACCGCACCAAAATGCCGTTGGAAAAATTGCGGCGAGATGATCTGTTTTGGTCGGACACATCAACATCAATCCACGGCGTCACGCAGCAGTAGAGCAACAGGGCCTCCACCACGCTACTTCTTTCGGATTGGCCATCTATATGATGCTGGCCGTCAGCGCGGCTGCCGCCCTATGATTGTTGAGCTCGTCTACCTTTGGGTAGGTGGTGGTCAAAGATGGGAGTCGCAACCGTGAAAAATGAGCTGGCAAACTGAAGAAATCGCAAGCAACACCCAGGTTGCGACACTCTGCCGTGCGCCTGTTGTTGCTAAAAACTGAAAACAGCAGGCCGGGTGGACGGGATCTTTCTAAGTGTGTTGTCCTCTGTGCCGGGTGCTGCTTATTGCGCTTTTATCGCTGCTCTATGGTGAGCAATACCATGTCAACCTGTTGTGTGCCGAGCAAAGCGTGTATTCAGGGAAGGAAACGTACTTTTTTTGATGACATCACGAAAAGAACAACCAAAAAAAAGTCGGGTTTTCTTTCAACCGTTCCGTTTAAAAAAGAACGATTTCGACGTTGCGTTAACAATAACCCTTAGCGGCTGCTGCACTCAACCCAGCTGCATGCATACCAACACTGCTGTTGCTGCTAACCTATCCACGCACACACATGCTAAAGTCGAGCTCTACCTAGATCTCTGCAACCGAACTGGTACTCAACACATGCCCACTTGACCTTTACCCTTGACCGGGAGCTCTCTCTTCTCTGAACTCGTGGGGTCGACACAGAGCCAACTTCATGCGAACACATACGTCATCTCGGAGAATAGCAAATTACGCCGCATCTTAACGCCAACACACCAGAAAGCGGGGACAAGGTCCAAACAGCCCCTGAAACGAGCCTACTTCGTACCACACTTCATCCCTCATCCCGCGCCTTAGCATGCTAGTGATAGGCTCGACCCCCGGAGCATACAGCCACATGCAACATCAGCACGGCAGAAACACAACCCTTGCAGGCGAGGTTCAAGCAAAGGGCGGGCCACCGTTATGAGTGCAGCACCGGTGGGAGACCGTTCGAAACACCAGGCGCCACTCGGCGAGAACGAGAAGTCGGGGTTCCGCCGCGTCTTTCATCGGGGGACAGCTGCGGGAGCGACAGTGATGGTAAGCACTCTAAAGCCACATATACTTGTGGGTATTCAATCTCAACGTAGGTAGACAACCAGTCCATTGTTCCGCTTCGTTGGTTACAGACCTGGTAGGAGTTGACTTGATACCCACACCATATCGCATACCCAACGAAACAAACTCGAACTAGGTAGGAGCTACAGGCAGGTACCGATGTACTGTAGACAGACACGTAACACCACGTGCACGACCCCGGTAGCTCCGATGCTCTAGTGGTTACCGTCGTAATCCTGCTGCCAGCAGGTTCAACGCTCTCTCTCTCTCTCTCTCTCTCTCCCCCCCCCCCCCTCTCTCTCTGGAATGGAAGAGTTTTCATTTGGCCGCGGAAAACGTAGTACTTGGAGTAGTTGTTGAACACTCGTTCCGGTCTCCGTTCGTGCACCGTCTCCGTTTGTGGACAAATTGCACTTCCAATAAATACTTCGAGCTCACGTTCGACGAGGGAAAAGAGACGGCAAAATCCTTCTCGCGATGCAAAATAAGGCGAGAACCGCAGGAGGAAAAAACGTTGAATGAATCGGCAGCAGACCCATCGTAGAAGCTTCCAACAGCAGATCGTCTCCCACCAATCACACATCGGCTTTGTAAGACATTTTGTAAGACAGAGACAGATGATTAGGCGAATGGCACGAAGCTCGGGGAGAATCCCCCAAATCTTCTTGAAAAACAGACGCAGCACAGCAGCAGCACACGTAGACAACATACGAGACAACCAACACAGCAGCATACAAGACTGCTGTAGGCCAAGGGCGGCCAAGGGCACAAATCATAGGGGGCGTTGGGTGTGACTCTTAGAGCTCGTTGCCTGCTGTTGGCAGCACAAGCGAGGGACGACGCAAGTCAACCTGCGGTCTGTCTTCACCACCTGCCGATCCTTGGAGCTTCCCACACAGAGGCACCCCCACGACACAGACAACGAGATGTGCACACTGCTGTAGGTCAAGGGCAGCCAAAGGCACACACATGGCAGGCATCGGAAACGATTGTATGGCCTGAGACACAAGTCCAGTCTATCTGTGGTCTGTCTTCGTCTGCAGGCCAATCTATGCTTGCACAACAGACGCACCCCCGACACAGAGACAAGTGAGACGTACACTGCAGGCGGAGGCCAAATACACGCATCGTAGGAGGCGTCGGGAGCGATTTTTAGGGCCCGTTGCTCGCTGCTACCAGCGTAAGCGAGGAACGCAAGTGCACAGCCACGCACAGCAGCAGCAGCTGGTTACATGTAAGAGCTCGCCCATACCAGCGCTCTCATTCATCCCCGGGCTGCTAGACAGCAGACATCTGACTGACTGGTGGTGTCGGGTGAGGTGTGAGGGTGTCCAGTAGTGGCCTCTGTGATGGCGTAGGCTCCATCCATATCTATCTGCGCTTGCTTTGATGTCTCTCTCCGCCACTTCTTTTCGCGCTAGGCACACACAGAACGAAGAAGCCGAGGCGATGGACTTGGTACATCAGTCCGATGCTGATACCCGTGCAGAAACAATTCACACGGTACAGGGGGTGTCCTTAGCCGTCCGGAGTGGCGCTTGCAATATCCTGAGGTAGTGGTACACACCGCGCGACGCGCCTACGCATTCTACCCCTTTTGTTTAGCTCCCTTCGTTTCGCTCTCGGTATGTGTTACAATATGGAAATGTTAGCACATAGCCAGTATGAGTCAATGTTCACGGTGCCCCTATCTCCGCCGTGGTGGTTCGACGGGCTCCGCTTAGTACAAGTCTTTCCCGTAAGGGTACTCCCCCCCTTTCGGTGAGAACCCGGCGTGCTCCGCCCCGGCTTTGTAGGGCTGCAGGTCAATGATCTAACGACTGCAATACGGTATGCGTGACTACGAGTACACCCCCACCCCTCCAAGCAGCGAAAGTCATCCTGGGAATCTCCAAGCGCGTAAATAATGCAGCCGTCAGGGCAGAACTGGGGATCCAATGTTTACGATCGGGAAGAGACGCAAGGAAGCTGATATGCAGTACCGCATGTGCGGCATGGGAGAGAAGACGTTGCCGAGAATAGTCTGGGAGGCGACGTGGGCAAATAAAAAGAGGGGTAGACAACCCACGGAGTGGGTCAAGGTTGTAGAGGACGTATTGAAGGGGTTCGTTATTTTTTTCTCTATGCGTCGTCACGTTTTTGCTTGATTTAACCTGACTTCGGCGTATCTGTGGTGTTTGAAGTGTATCTTAGATTCGCCTTGGCACGCTGTACACGGCTTCTTTAATACGATAAAGCATGAAATTTCTCGCCTTTAACGCTATCCACTTTGGCTTACTTCGTGAGATGCTTGTATCTCATGTACGCAATCCAGGAAACAGACCATGTTTTTTCTTCGCCACCTCCCACCGTTTACAGCCATGTTCCGGTGATTCCCGAAGGAGCATGCCACCATGTCGAAGAGGCGGCTGTTTTCCCTCCTGGCGCGGGTCAGGGGCGCCGTAGCATGGCGAGGGAGGGGGTAGGAGGCTCGACGGGCCGCGGTGCTGGACGATTAGAGGTGTGCTTCCCAAGGTGGGGGTCCACTGTGCGTTAGTCAATGGCAAAGGAAGGCTCGTGATGAGGGGTCTTTGGGAAGGTGGTGGTGGGATTCGATTCCTTCTGGAAGCCCACCGATTTCTAGTGTTGCTCGTTGACTTATCGAGGACCGATCAGGTGGCGCAGATGACAGCCCCGTTTGACATCTCCGCGCTCGCCGCGCACACGAGGTAGGTTAAGGGCGGTGATATATATATACTTTTTTTTTCCGAGGTGGTCGTCTCTGTGTGTCCGTTTATTGACATGGTAGATGATACTTTCGTTGCTGCCGCTGCCGCTGCTGTTGTTGCTGCTCCTGCTGCTTCTGGTGGTGATGGTATGTTCAGGAGCGGAGCGTCCAGCCTGGATTTCAGGAGCTCGGCAGTACACGGACCGGAGCAGGATGCCGCCGCCACCGACGCCGCCAGTGCTGCTGATAGCGGCAGCGCCGGCGAAGGAAACGAGAGCGTTGCCCGAGCGCTCCCGTAGAGAACAGGCGCGACCGGCCCTGAACAGAGAGAGAGGGCACTTTTCAGACGCCCATCCATGCGTGCGCCCCGATAAAAATGGCGACTTGAATAGAGATAGCGCCCGCAGTTTAGAAAAATTATGTTGAGGAAATAGAGAGTTTCGGAAGAAAAGTTATATTTAAGAGCGTTTCAGATTTAGATTTTAGTTTTGGAAGGTTCTGGGAAGATTATTCTGTGGCGAACAGTCTCAGATTTAAGAAATCTGGGACGTTTTGTGACGTGGGTTATAAACGTGCTTTGATTGGCTGATTGTCACAGTCTGGGAAGACCCACCGCACACATAACGCGCGGGCCCTCCGCCACCGGGAGCGCGAGGCACACACACACGATACCAGCAGCCAGCACACGCACCTCAACCTGGCAACACTACTACTAGAGTCGTCCCATCATGTCACGTCTGCGTATCCGTGAGAGGATCGCGCGCAAAACACGAGCGATAGTGTTTTTGCAGTGCCGACAGATGTTCGAGGCCTACACCGACATATGGATGGCATACAACATGGCCTTCATCCACACGATGGCGAGTCTTGTCGCAGACGATGTGGCAACACGTGTGGCACGCCGAGACGTGACAAACTTCTTCAGCCCCCAAGACTGCGTCAACTTTCTTCGCTGCACACAGCCGCAGGTAGGTGCTTCCCAGTTCTCTGTCTGTGTGCATCCTACTTGCAAGAACGCCGCACTGCTGTATGTAAGTATGTAGACAGCACCAGTGCACAGCAGCAGTACACTTGTCCCCACACACTTCGTTCACATGTTGCCGAGGGTGTGTACACAGCGGCAGTGCGATAGAAGAAGTATTGAATGCACAAGCCGTGGGCCTTCACCGAACTCGGATCGTGTGTGACACCACACGTCTTGTCTCCTTTTTTCTTCGTTCCAGATCATGCTCATGCTGGATCTTCTTTTGATCCCTGCTTTCATCCGGACCGACTGTGGGTTTGTCGTGAGTGGGCGAGAGGCTCTTTGCGTGCTGCTGTATCGCCTGGCGTTTCCATGCCGTCTGAAAGACATGCGCTTGGTTTTCGGGTTGAGCGAGTCGTGCATCTGCCAAACATTCAATTGGATGCTGCACTTCCTCGAGTTCAAATGGGGCTGGCTGCTCTCTCTCGACGTGGAGCGACTGAAGCCGAGGTTGGTGGAGTTCGCCGAAGCCATCTACAACGCGGATTGCCCTCTCACACACTGCTGGGGCTTCATCGATGGAACCGTCCGCGGCATTGCGAGGTGTGTGCGATAATTATTGCCGTTTTCCAATGTGGTAGGAATTAATGCGGGGTGGGCACACCGGCAGTAGACTTTTATGCACAGAGTACGATTCGAAGACTCTCACCAACAAAGTAAGGTTCAAATTTGTGATGTACCCAGGCAACAGTATGTCGGCCCGTTCTCCGTACGGTTCAAATGGAGCCACTGCTGAATCCCCCCAGTTTTACATCACGTCGCCGGATTTGCATCGGCCAAACACATATTGTGCCGGTGCTTCTTGTTCTTGTACTCTTCGTAGGCCCGTACGCTTCCAACGGTGGTACTACAATGGCCACAAGAGGAAGCATGCCATCAAGTTCCAAGGAGTGATTACCCCTGACGGACTCTTCGTCGATATGTGGGGCCCTGTGCTTGGCACACGGCATGACAGTTACTTGCTTGCGCAGTCTGGACTGATGCAGAAGCTGGCAACACACTTTAACAGCCCTTCTGGCCACCCGTACTGCCTGTATGGAGACCTGGCATACGGTTGAAGCGACCATCTCGCCTGCCCTTTTAGTGCCACATCCCACGGTCCGCTTACGCCCGAGATGGCCGACTTCAACCAGCGCATGAGCCACTGCAGGGTGGCCGTGGAGTGGGGCTTCAAGGAGATGACGAGCAAGTGGGCATTTGTAGACATGAAGCCGCAGCAGAGTACTTGTTGAGCCCAGTAGGCAAGCAGTACCGAGTGGCTACCCTGCTCTCCAACATGCACTCCTGCCTTAATGGAGGCAACCAGATTTCGCAGTTCTTTAACGTGCAGCCGCCCACCCTCGAGGAATACCTTAAGGTGTAAGTCGTATAGTGTGTGACGTGTTTCAGACTTCAACGGTGGAGAAATGCGAGCATGCCCTGTCCAGGTACTTGCGCGACGAGGTGTTCGCACTGGCCAGAAAAAGAGCAGGGTGGAAATTGTGGGTTAAATATAATGCCTGTGATTTGCGCCCTGATTGAGCTTAGCCTACAAATTTGCGACCCAGAAGATTAAACGACCGGGGCGTTCTGGTGTGGTAGCAAGCCGTGTGCAATTGCCGCCGTGTAGCCGTCACGTCCGGTATTAGCAAGTCCTTTGGTGTGTGGTTGTGTGTTTGTGGGAAAATCAGGAGCTCTAGAGAGAGCCGGGAGGGCTCCCATCGGAGGGGGTACAGAGAAGTACCTACACCCGTTTCAATTTCGCTTTTTTTTCGCCCGCTAAACTGATCGCTTGAATATACTGAAAAGAGTAGTGCAGGCAGGTTGGTAGTGCAGGGTTTCTGAGGGGATCACTTCAAGGTCTGCCAGCCTACCACTCAACAAGCCTTGTATGAGGCTGGGAGTTGCGGCCATCGTGTCGCGGCCCGCGGTAATGGTGCACATGGAGATAGCTTGTGCGGCTACAGAATTTGTTCTCGCTCTCGCTCTCTACCACACCCTCTCGGTTCTCGTATCTCCATGGTAAAAACCTCGAAACAAACATTGCTACGAAACCTGGCACGAGAACGTCGCACTGACAGTCCAGGTTTCTGGCCGGCTGGACCCATAAGTGTCGAAGGGCTCCAGTCGATTAGCAACACACGAGTTAAACACGTCGAATCCCTGCGGCTCTCTACGGTAGTAAGCGACTCTGCAGAAATAGCAACAAGGGCTCCCCTTCGCTACCACGTCGGTGAAATAGAATGGAAAGTAAAACACCCCCCATATAGCCACCTACAACCTTCACGCGGAACACTTCAACGCAAATATGCATTTGGCGACAGGAAGACGTGCACGTCGCAAACAGAGCAACTTTTTTCGGTTTTAAGGATTGGGGCATGCACGATTAGGGGTACCCCCCCCCCCCCCCCCCCCTCCCGCTCTCTCGCAACGCAATCGCACGGCGCGGTATACCTCTTCGACCACAACAAATAAAAAACAAATAAACGAAAAAAAACAAAGCACTGCAGCCGCCACGCCGCCAGCAACGCAACAAGCACGGACACCCCGCCCTCCCGTGAAAAACAAAGCTACGAAAAAACAAAACGAGGGACTGCAGCCGCCACGCCGCCAAAAATGCAGCAAGCACGGACACCCCCTCCTCCCTTCAAAAACAAAACTACGAAAAAACAAAACGAGGGACTGCAGCCGCCACGCCGCCAAAAATGCAGCAAGCACGGACACCCCCTCCTCCCTTCAAAAACAAAACTACGAAAAAACAAAACGAGGGACTGCAGCCGCCATGCAGCAAGCACGGACACCCCGCCCTCCCGTGAAAAACAAAGCTACAAAAAAAAAAAAGAGGGACTGCTGCCGCCACGCCGCCTGCAATGCAACAAGCACGGACACCCCCTCCTCCCTTCAAAAACAAAACTACAAAAAAACAAAACGAGGGACTGCAGCCGCCACGCCGCCTGCAATGCAACAAGCACGGACACCCCCTCCTCCCTTCAAAAACAAAACTACGAAAAAACAAAACGAGGGACTGCAGCCGCCACGCCGCCAAAAATGCAGCAAGCACGGACACCCCGCCCTCCCGTGAAAAACAAAGCTACAAAAAAAAAAACGAGGGACTGCAGCCGCCACGCCGCCTGCAATGCAACAAGCACGGACACCCCCTCCTCCCTTCAAAAACAAAACTACAAAAAAAAAACCCGAGGGACTGCAGCCGCCACGCCGCCTGCAATGCAACAAGCACGGACACCCCCTCCTCCCTTCAAAAACAAAACTACGAAAAAACAAAACGAGGGACTGCAGCCGCCACGCCGCCAAAAATGCAACAAGCACGGACACCCCCTCCTCCCTTCAAAAACAAAACTACGAAAAAACAAAACGAGGGACTGCAGCCGCCACGCCGCCAGCAATGCAACAAGCACGGACACCCCTCCATCCTAGAAAAACAAAGCTACGAAAGAAAACAAAACACTGCAGCCGCCACGCTGCCACCAATGCAACAAGCACCGACGCCCCCCCCCTCCCCCAGTGGCCGTATGGAAGTAGAGTAGTACCATATGCGCGTCACCCAGAGCAGCTTTGTTTTCTTGAGCGTGGTACCAAGAAAATGTTCTACGGTTTCTTACTCTCTGCCACGGCCATCTGCACCTTCAATCGCATCATTTCCAACTCGAAGTTCTAGTCCCTTTCCTTGTCCGCCTTTTCCTCGGCACGCCTAGCGGCCTCAGCCGCCTCCCGCTTATCCCTGTCCTCCCGTTCCTCCCGTCGCTCATCAGCACGCATATCTCTCTCGTGCTTGCGATTCAGCTGCCTTTCATCGCGCTCCCACTGGTATCGGTCCTCCGCCTTCTTCTCGCTCCTGATTGCCGCAGCGTCTTCCCTGGTCGCCCTCCGAACCTCATTTTGCTCGGCATTGTGGATCGAGCGCTCGATCATCCTAGATTTTGGACACAACAAGAAAGACAACAAGCCACCTTTTGAATGCATGCTCGTGCAGACGATATTGACAATACTACAGGACATGGGGAATTGTAGGCAAGCAAGAACTAACTACAATGAGGTTGGGTAGGCCTTGCCTACTGATACAGGTGAGGTTGGGTATACCTTCACTTGCAAGAGACACCACGCATGGAACGCACTCCATGACACACAAACCTGGAACCAACAATCGTCTCGACACGTTTTGTGAAGCAACCCAAAGAGTATAAAATCAGTACGCTCACCTGTTCATGTCCGTCTCCTCCTTCTTGCTGGTGTTGGTGCGGATTTTCCGACCGCTCTTGCCCTTACGTTTGGCTTGCTTATCGGGAGGTGCATCGTCGTAGCCGGAATCACCGTCGTCGTCAGCGCCGCCGCCGCCACCGGCGAAGTCCAACGGCGTGTCGCTGCCATCGAATACCAGTCGAGACGCCAGAGCCCTCGTCAGCCCATCAAAGATCTTGTCCGACGGCCCTTCCAGAACCAGCCACCCAAGGCGGTACCTCTCGGCATAGGGAAGGACGCTAAACGAGCCATAGTCTTGATTGTAGTGGGCAAAAAGTGCGTGCGTGATATTTCCGTACCTGTCTAGTCCAGGAGCTTTTGACGTATCTACGGAGTCCATGCCGTCGGCGTCTTCGTCAGCTGCAACGATATCTCTCACATATGCATCCACCGACTTCCCATCCCTTAGTCCCATGAAGTAGTCCGCAATCACATCCTCCATCATCCTCGTTGCGACATCATGTGGGATTTGGTCAGGCCTAAATCCGGCGTTGAGGAAAAGGTCTGCCTGCTCACGCATAACGCCAACTTTCGACGCAAGTCTCTCAATCGTCGGTGCGCGTAGCAGGGCGGCAAGGGTGCTCCCAAGCGGGGGGGTAAGTGTGACCCCACCCGCGGTAGCTGGGCTGGATCGGCCGCTACCGCTACCGCTAGGGTTACCACTACCACTACCGAAACCGGCCACACCGCCGATGTTAGCGGGGCTCGATCGGCCGCTCCCACTACCAGACGGCGTGAAACCAGGCATGCGTCGCCTGTTGTCAATGACACCACTCATCCGGCGCTCGTCGCTGGCGTGAGCTTCTCCGAAGGTCGTCGCCGCTGCTCCCGGTCCACACCGGCTGTTGCCCATGTCAATGGCTGATAGCCCAAGCAAGTTCTGACCCGCCTTCCTCGCCTTTTTCTGTCGACTGTCTGCCCTCTCCCCCGCCCTGGAGTCTACCGCGGATTGCACCAGCTTCTCCTACGAAAAAGGAGCAACATGACCCGACACAAAATGGTGGAAGCGCGGCAAGACCAGCAGCAAATGTCACGTCTCCCGTTACTCCACTTGGACATTCCCGGGTTTGCATACAGACTTTGCTTGACTTCTTGCATGTTTTTCGCGAACGCATACAGCTGAACGAACTCGTCACATACAGGCAGCGGGCTACCCCGAATGATCGTTGTCAACTAAACACTGATATGAAGAATGTAGGTATATCACAGCAGGCAAACAAATCTCCGTTATCTACCCGATTAGCTTCTCACCAGCTCGGCTTCGTCTCCCTCGAGGTCGTCGGCGGAGGTGTTCCCTGCTCCGGATGCTTTTGCCGCCTCCTCGTTTTTCTTCGTTTGAGCGCGAATATGCGAGTCGAAGCGCGACTTCAAATGCTTGACCGTCTTGATGCCGAACACTCTCACATACGGCTCCTTGTTCAAGTCCTCGACGACTAATGCCCACCTGTCTTCAACACTGTCGGTCAGGCCAGCCACTCGCCAGGTATTGTGCTGGATAGCTGCCGCGACATAGAAATAGTGTTAACAAGCACGAAATATATGCGAAGTTGTCGGTGAAGAGCCCATGGGGTCGGAGTATTTTTCGGAAGAGATACCTAACACCTCTCCGAACAAGCCTACCCGGACGGATGCAAATGTGGTGAGTATAATAGCAGGCACACTTGGGCGCACCGTGGAATAGAAATTTGGATGTTGTTACGTTTTCGCCACACCTTCCTGTGCTACGGCAACCACTGCTGTACATACCTCCAGAGCTGCCCGCTCGTTATACTTCTGTACAGGAACAGCAGTCGGGTGGTAAGAGACACAATTCCTGTTCTAATCCCCCCATTCAAGCGAGAGCATCGGGTCCTCTGCTGTACAGCAGTAGAGACGCAGGCGTGAGGGAGCCTACCCATCTCGGCGCCGGCTGTTGCGGCGAAACAGGAAATTTGAAATTTGAAAAACGTAAGACACCGATCGTCGAGCTGATGCGGTCTTCCTTGTTTCTGCTGGTGACCGCCAGCTGTTCTTCGCCACCGCGCTTTGCTTACTCAACGCATATTCTCTCCACATCACCTTCAACTGCCGCCCTACACACAAAACCAAACGCGCCGCGGAACATCATCATCTCGTACAGATAGGCTGGTGTGGTACCCCTGCTGCAACCCAAAAGCATGTATGTATGTATGTGCTCTGTGCTGTGTTATCCACCAACAACAGCTCGCCACCTCACCACAAGCCAAGTCTTCGGACCGAGTGCACGCACAGGTCCTATTTACAAAACAACTGGACGCTATGCAGGAACTCTACCACAATAGGTGTCACCATGATGATGAGCGATCATGATGCATCGTGTTCGGTGGTAACGAATGCATATGCGTGCCAGCTGTGCATGCATGGTCTAGTCTACAGCAGCAGTACAACATGTTCGCTTTGTCTGATGGTCGCACAAACTCACCGTGTTTCATCAGCGTCAAGTCCAGCCGCGTGCTCCACTTCGGGGAGACTCTCTTCTTCTTCTTGCCCGCGGAAGCCGCACTAGATGGGTTGGCCACAGCTACCACCTCAGCGTCGGAGTCCTCCCCCTGCACCGGAGTCTCTTCTCCACCCAAGCTCATCACCTTTTGCGCGTGCCCATCGCCTGCCGCCCTGAAGGACGCGCGCGAAGAGTCACCTGCTTCCCTGGCGGGAAGCCTCTAGGGCCAAGACCTTGTCCGTGGGGGTGACGACCCTCGAGCTCTGACGGGAAGCCATGCTTGCTTGTGTGTGCTCTATACAATCTGAAAGGTAATTTTCGATTTAGGAAAAAGCGGCGCCCGGCCTCTGTTTCTCTAAAGCTGAAAGCCCCCTTTCAGATTTAGGAGCTCGATGTTCCCCCGCTTTGAGGAACGTTCCAAGAAATGGAGCCTTCCACCTAAATCGAGAACTTCCACCTAAATCGAAAAGTGTCGAACCGTGTTCCGAAACTCCCCAATGAGGCTCAAGTTTTTTAGAAAAAGAAGCAACGAGGGCTTAGAAACATACATAACTCAATCTCGGCCAAAACGTAAGAAACTTGATATTAGTGCGATATCCCCATGATACGAGAAGTCTTCGGTGCTCCCACCCCCTTCCCTAGCTGAACACAAGTGCACTGTTTGTGGTAAGGGGGCAGAGTGGTTGTTTTTGCCCCCCCCCCTGACCCACCCCCCCGGTGTTTACCATCGGGGTTGGGTTTTCGTCGCTTGGCAACGACGTTGCAAAACAAGCCCCCCGCTCGGTGTTTGCCATCGGGATTGGGTTTTCGTCGCTTGGCAACGACGTTGTAAAACAAGCCAATTCACTTCGTGAACTCGGCAACTAGGTTTCCGTTTTTATTTTTTCGTCTTTTTTTTTTTTTGGCGGTAACCATAATGGTGGTCGAGTAGATCATGTTGTGCAGGGTCGAGAACCCTCACTCCGCGCAACGGGGGATGATCGCACCACGTTGTGTTAAAATGGTCAAGCTTCCTCGAGGCAGTTACACAGTGCTTACAACTGTCTCTGGAAGTAAAAGCACCAGAAAACAAATTAAGTCATACGTAGCTGTCATCCGTACGCAAGGAAGTAAGCACAAGGTGCCGAACACCCTTAGCAGGATGCAGCTCACCCTTCATGCGACTCGCCAAGTACCTCACGGTGCTTTGCGCTTGGTGATGTGAGAGCCTGGTCCGGTGGGAACCCGGCGTGCTCCGTCCCGGTTTTGTAGGGATGCGAGGTCAATGGTCTAATGACTACGGCATGCACGACTATGAGTACACCCCCCCCCCCTCCCCCCCCGCTTACTCCTGCTGTTCCCTGTGCTGTACTATAGTACTGCCACACATCGCGGACAACCGCATGCTCTCCGCTGGTGTACGAGTTTGTTGGCACTCTCCACCATCTCTCTTGAGGGCTTGATGAAGAGGATTGTCTCAAAAGCAAGCCGACGAATGTCGTGGGCGTGCTAGTCCCAAGCCCCTTTTTGTTTTTCTTTCTTACGTCATGCCGGGCACACCTTCTTCACCAACGTCCCACTTAAAGAAAATAACGGAGAAACGCGTCAGGGGCGGGGCCCCGCAGTCTGCAACTGACGCAAACGGGAAGATAATGCAACCAGCTATGCATACCTGCAGTATATTTTGCCAACAAAGTCCACCCCGAAGAAGCCAACCCTAACTAACACCGACCCTAGCCACAAGTCGTCCTGCAGACGCATGAAAATCTAGCTGTTCGGCTGGAGGGTCTAAACCACATTGTAGCATGTCGCCCGAGGGCTCTCGAAAAGAATAGCCGCGACCGGCTCTGGGCTGAGAGAGAGGGCACTTCTCAGAACGCCCATACATGCGTACAGTAGGCGGCCCAATATCGCGGCAACTTGAATAATAATAGTGACCCATATTGTGGCATCAAAATCTCTTGTCACAATCTCAACATGTACATGAACCCGATATATCGAATAATAATGGCGCTGCCCTGAATAAATGATACAGAAGTGGCATGTTCTCCTCTTCCTGCCCCTACATGTCATTATACCGGATCACTTACTGTAAGCACTTTTGCGGCGAGGGACTCGATGCTGTCAACAATCTCCTCCCTGCCCGCTCGCCGATGATCTGTCCAGTACTACAGTGGCCGTTGCATTGCACTTATCCCAATGGTTTCGTCCTTATAATATATGCATACGCACGATCACACCCGAATGCAGGAGATCACCCGAACGCGGACCGGTAGTTTACTCCCTCTCACGGCGGAACAAAAAACGTCCGGTCGAACTTGCATTTATTTGTCGTCACAACAAACGTCAACCCACTTTATGATTGACGTACGACGCAACATCATGATTGGCGTACTCTACTCTGCTTGCCGTTGGAGATGTCCAACGCTACGCGAGGAAGGCGTTAACCGAGGAGGCGGAATCTGTACGGTCAGTTCACTGTGGTGACAACTGTAAAAAATAAAAAATGACCAGACAAGACCAGACAAGAGGCTGTAACCACCACGGACGAAGTCTGTAACCCTGCCGTCCGTGTTAGATGCGCACCGCTACATGATGCGTGGGCGGGAGACCCCAAGAAACAAAGCATGAACACACGAAACAAACAGCAACATGGAAATACGAAAAATGAGCGAGGCCAAGACAGTGAGCCAGGCCCGACAGGTTTCGGAAAGAAGGCGAGAGAGAGCATAGAAAACGCACCCTCCTCGCCGCTTTGAATCCCCAGAAGCTGTCACATCGCACTGCACTAAGCATCATGGTCATGCCCATTCCCTGGCAGCACCCATCGTCTCCCATACAGCGGCCGGATGCACGGGTAGCCTCTTAAGTCTACTCAGTCAGCAAAATGAAAAACAATCGCGGTTGGCGTTGTCGTGGGGACCCCACCGGCGAAAGGTGAGAGAGGAGAGCGGAGAGAGGACAAGACATTCACTCTCTACAACACACCCACTCTCGTTCCTCTGACCACTGTGGCTCAAGATCAGCGTTTAAGACCCTGTCGGGTAAGGGGTGGGCTATGCGAAAGAAAATGTCAGGGACACAAAAAGTGAACTTCGGTGGATGGAGACCAATTTCTAGCGAGCTTGGGAATGTGCATCGATAGACATGAAACGATGCTGAGCAGAGAACGACAAATACCACTATCCTGACCAAACTCAGCAGTGTCACTAGCAGATGGACCATTATTCTTGGTGGAGACCACGACTTGATTATCGCGCGAAGCAGGTTGAGACGACCTGACGCGCACCCGGAAATAACAACAGTCTTCGACCGGCAGTCAGCGGAGAGAAAGAAGAGGACACTTCTCACAGCGCCCATCCGTGCGTATGCATTGTTGGTGGCGAGGGAGTCCACGCTGTCAACAATCTCGCTAATCGTGCTCGCTGATGATCCGGCTGGTATGCACGATCACACCCGAATAAAGAAGACCACCAGAACGCGGACCGGTAGCTTAGTCTCGCTCTTTCGGCAAGAACCAACCACCCCCGGACGAACTTGCATTTGTAGTCACAAGAACATCATGATCTATTGCTGATTGATTGACGTACTGTTTTGCTTGCCGTGGGGGATGCGCATCGCTACGGACAGCGAGGAAGCCGTTCACCCCTCGCACAGCTTCTTGCGCACACGATGAGTGTGCTGCCGTCAACCCTATCCCTCGAGCTCACACACAGCCATACCCGATACATGCGAAGAAAACGTCAACCCCTCGCACAGCTTTTTGCGCACACGATGAGTGTGCTGCCGTCGACCCTATCCCTCCAGCTCACACAATCCATACCCGATACATGCGAAGAAAAACATCCCCCGGCAAACTATTAATTGGTGGGTGGGCCAGCGCGGATGGAGGATGGAGGACCCCAGAAAACAAGGCATGAATACAGTAGGAATACATACGCATATGCATTGTAAACCCATGAAAGAGAGCCCGAGGCAACAGACTTATCCGAGGAGGCGGAGGAGAGCATAGAAAAAGAACCCTCGCCACTCTGAACCCCCGGCAGCTCTCACATTGATACTGCCCAAACATTATGGCCACGCCCATTAGCTGGCAGCGCCCATCGCGTTACATGCACCAGCCGTACCCTCGATTATTCAGACAGCAACAAACAAAACTACGTAATCTACGGACGGACTTTCTTTCTTCGTAGAATTCTTCTCTGTGTGGGAAAATGTTGTGGTGACAAAAAAACAAAAAGAACATGATCAATGACATGATGATTAGAAGAGACTAAGCATCACGGACAAACTACTTCAAACAAACGCCTGCCGTCCGCGTTAGATATGCACCGTTACAAGAAAAACTTTGACCGTTCTCGTTACCACTCCGTGTATACACACGATCAAAGAGATCGTGCTGCCATCGACCTTGGTGGGCGTTCTCTCCAAGCCCTTGTTGCAGATCACCTGTTCTCATCCACGGAACCCCTTCGTGTTTCCGTGATTTCGACATTATTTACTGCGGAATAGTTGTCGACGATGTATAATTTGGATTGAAATGGGGCCTCTCGCCACGGCATGGGACCCACCCATACTTCCTGTTATTGAACTGTTATTTCTTGTCGTGAATCGACGATCGCCCAAGTTCCCAATCATGTACTCAGCAAACATCCATGCTTGCGTGCGGCGGACCGTATGTGTTGTTAGTCTTTGTCTCGAGCTGCTGTCGTTGTTAATGGGTGACAACACAGACAAAAACTCAAAAGATACGCGCAATGTCGGAGATATGCATCATGGCTGGATACCCGCAGTAGCATCACGAGTCACGCCATTCTCTCTGTAGTCGATTGCAGCAACAAAACAAGACGTTTCTGTCTGTGTGATGCATATTTATGTATGTGCAAATACATGCGTTCCACGCGTGTAGCCTAGGGATAATAGGTTGAGAGTTTTGTCCTAGATACACAGCAGTGACAGAAGCCTGCGTGTAGAAGTCCAGCAGGGAGACTCTGAATGCTTCAGAGAGGTTGTCGGAATATTTGCGGTGGAATTTTGTTGGGTTGTCCCAAAAGACCCCGAGAGACCAGTACAGCGAGTAGATCTCTGAGGAACCCTGTGTTAGACGGTTGTTTGATTTTGTTTTTTGCTTTCGAGATGAGACACAAGCGCGCTCTCGCCCCC